AAATCCCTCCTTAGACATTTTTTACTTTATAAAAGGGAAAACAGAACCACTGACTGCTTCTGTAGTGTTAAAACCAAAACACCTCTGTCTCTTTAAGAGCCTCTCTGAGGCGGCGATCGGTCCACCCAGGCGGTTCACACAGCTAAACGGTTACCATGGAGATTAAAGGATTTCTCAAACATGCATGAAAGAATCAAGGCAACACTCCAAGTTTGGGTTTGATGAGGGAATAACATTATAAAATTACCTAAAACTCAAAATGCTGATTTTATGCCCCTTTAATAGTTTAATATGCCTTAATATGAATTAATATGCATTAATATTCACTGTGAAAACCATGTTGGTTCTACCACAGAAGCTAACATCCACAGTCTTATTCATCTTCAGGGTACAGCCAAGAAAAATTATATGTAAGATAGTAAACCAAATGCGTACCCCAACCAATAGCATGTCAAGTAGCAGTATACTGCAGTATTCTAGCTCCCTATGGTGCATTTATATATCTATATCTATGTCTATATATATTTTTATATATATAGATAGATATAGATATATAATATGCAGAGTTTTCACAAGTAATCTGGAGTCTCAGAAAAATGTACGAATACTAAAAACCAAGTAAACAGGCGTTCACTGTCCAAGAATGTTTCAAATTAAGGTTTCTTAGCGTATACGTATATCATAATAGCACGCTACCTTTTGAACCTTTTGAAAGGACTTTCAATGTTCTCGTCTATTAAACTGCTCCATAGATTTGGGACTTCATTGTTGGAAAATGGCTCTTTAACCAAAAGATTGTTGCGGTAGTAGATGATGGTGGTGCACCGGTAGTTTCATGATCCCTTTTGCTCCAAAGATTTTCCTGTGCTTTAGCACACTTAAACCTGAAAGCATGTGTAATGTTGAAATACCTGATCCCATGGTTCTACACACACTCTCTTGTACGCCCTCCTCCAAGTGGTGACAGTATACTAAGTGGCCATAAGTGCTTTTTTATGGCATCATCTAGTGGGCCTACACCGGTCCTTAGAGATTACATTGTCTCCATGGAGACATAAAAGGGACAGGCCCCGTAAATCAAGCTGCTACACATTAGTGATGGCTAATTAGCCCGTAGCGCTGATGACTGGAGGCTGTCTGCTGCTCATCGTACGCCGTATGTCTCATCAACGGGGCCTAAGGAGAAGCTCCAGCTTTGTGTTTTCATGGATCATTTTACACCTCCCCAGGGTGCATTGGCAATGACACAATTTAAGAACCTTTTCTTTTTTTTTCTGTGCTAAACAGAAGAAATGGACAGATGTGAATAAGAAGCACAAATGGGACCGGTTAACCTCATGCTGCTTGCCTCATAAAAACATGTTTGGGGCCTGGAATCGGCGTGCTGTGGGAGGGTTCTGGCCGTATATTTCTTTTAATGAAGTCTGGCTATATCTCCCTGCTCTCTGTAACAACCTCTTTGGCTGCTCGCCCTGTTGGCAGCCGGCAAAGAACTCTCAATGTAGATGATTAATTTCGAGGGCACTTTCTTGTCAAAAGGACCTTTACACTTGATAGAAGCAATGTGTTCTGTCAGCCCCTTGAAATTCAAATGATGTCTTCCACTCTGCGTCCCACCGACGGCTTTGAACATCCCCATGAAAGGAGAGCAACCGAGATGGGACCGACGGGGAGCCGACGGAGAACAGAGAGGTAAAAATCAAGTCCCTTCCTAATAGATGACAGGACCGAACCCAGAAGACAAAAATAAACTATTAAAAACATGTCAAAGGAGTTGAAATGTATAGAAATGTGGCTATTTTTATAACAGCACTGCTGCTGCCTCTCACATGTTGGCAGGCGCCTGCCAACTTTACCAGGTGTAAAGATGAAAGTCTGTGGATGTAGAAACGTTTTTTTATTTACTCCTGTAGCTTTTAGAGTATTAGTTTGTGTCCAAAATGTGAACAAAATGCACATTTTGTCCACATGCATTGAACAAAATGCAAATGTCATGTAAAGACACATACAACGAGAATATGAAGTCAGTGGCATTAAGTAAAGTTTATATTTGTGCGCCACCTGAATTTATGTCTGTACACACTAATAATTTTTATTGCCACACAATCAAAAATAAAAAGATCATTTAGGCATTCTGTCCGAAGTTGTTGAGATATTACATAAAAATGACCTTGTTTGCTGGTTTAATAAATACAAATTTGACTACATAAATTTGCATTAGCTCAGGTGCACAGCACTGTAAAATACTAATATTCTGCACAGTTCAGTCAAGACAGCCCTGGTCTCTTTAGAGATCAAGTCTCTTTGAGACCTAATTAGTCTAACTTGGTTGATTACTATCAAAGAGACCAACACGTTTTTTGACACTCATGAAGATGGCGCCAAAATATGAGTAATATTGAGAAATACTACTTCCCTTTCAGCGGCTTCGATCTATTTCCATTCTGGCTCGGTGCGCTCGACCCCTCATGGGACTGCAGGAAGGCTAAACAGACTAACTTTTTTCCCCACAGGATACATCTTCCAACATCCATGTTGGTTCTACCACATCCAGCATCTTCCAAGAAGCTACTCAATGCCTCACTTAGAATTAAATATGGCCAGCTAAAATAATCATCCAATTGAAGGTCTGTACCTATTTGCCTAGTTAAATCCAGGTCGTCCCTTTTTTGTTAGAGAGATAGTAAACGTAGTAAATCTAAGGAGGCCAATACATTCACTTGGAATTGCATCACCAAAATCAAGTCAAGAAATTTCCATGGCCAGGGTAAACTGTCTGATGTCCTTGCCTGTGGCGTGCCACAAGGTTCTGTTTCAGGGCTTCTGCTCATTTTGAGATCTATTAGCAGTTCTATGCAGATGATGTTAAACTTTTCTCAGCTCTGATATTTACAGTAGATTTAATTAAAAGCTGGAAGAGCAGCTCTATTGTACATGTGAGATTTCTGGTTCATTTTTGCTTAGAAATAATGTGCAGCTAACTTCTAGACTCATGCTTTGGACGTTTTGTGACCATGTGTCAAACGTTTTGACACATGGTCTTCAAAACGTTTTACAAAAAACTGCAAGGTGAGCATTTTTATTCAGTTTTCTTGAATGAATCTCCATCCTAGTCTCAGCTCTTTCTTGGCCTACCAGGTCTTCTTCAAGGCTCCCCTGTCATCCAGCTCCAGATAAGGTAAACTAAAATACAACTTTAGGTTTGATCTAAACAGAGTAGCCTCTGTGTCTAATACAATGATCATGACAAACCACATGCTGGAACTCTTCTAGATTTTTTCTTGCCTCTCTAGTAGGACTCCAAAGGACAAAGACATCAACTTTACAGCATCTGCGGGTTCAGTGAAATAAGCTCACCATCAAAGAGGAGGAATTGCTGCTAGTGTCACAATCCCCAAGACAACGACCCAGCTACCATGTTCATGATCTGACAAGTAGGGGGTATCTACATTTAGCAGGGGTTTTTAATGTTGCACCTGCTCCTCATATTCTGCCGCCCACATGTTGAATTACCAGCTCACCGAAGAGCCACCTAATAAAGTTCTTTCTAATCTTTCTTGTTAATAATGAAGAAATGTCACTTTTCAACCTGCTTGCTTCCAGTGAAGTTTTGGTGCCAAAAGCTAACAAAAACCAGTGAGCGATCTGGGACACAAAGATGAATATGCACAGTAAATAGAGTTGCTGCACAGATAATAGCCGCGCTCACAAGGATGAGTCAGAACCAGTCCCACCCTCATCTGCTTATAGAGTCATCTAATTTAGACAGGTAGATGGATGGGGAGGCAGGAGGAACTTGTCATGTTCTCTCTGCTTGGTCCTCTTTGTTTTGACTTTTTATTCATAAATGAAGAAATATTGTCAGCCTGTGCTTCGGCGTTGCGGTGAACTGCGAGGCAAGAGGAGCTTCTCTTTGTAAGCAGGAAAGCAGTGAATGTAGCAGAGTACCAGGGTCTGCTGGTTCTACGAACCTGAACGCAGTGAGGCTGCAGGAGCGAGCACAAAGACACAGAGAGAGAGAGAGTCCTATTAGCGCCTCACAACGATGCAGTAGTTCAAAGTATTGTAAGCAGAAATCTCAAACAGCAGCGTTTAATGAGGGCTTTGGAGGGAGCAAGACTAGCCATGGAAATGTGCGAGAATGTGTGCTTTGTTCACTTTCAAAGAATAACTATGCAACACACAACCAGGATGACATACGGGGTTGTGCACATGTTTTTATTCCCCAACCTTATAAATGTGATCATGACCTTGTTGGCTCTTGGTATATTGTAACATGGCTGCCACACTCCTTTATCTTCACATTACACAAAGAGAATAAGTAATTAGAAGGTTCTGTGTTTTTGTTAAAAAAATATATAGCAAATGTCCTATGACAGCATTGGGAAAATAATAATTGAAGATGTGATGGTCTGAAAGGATTAAAGGAAATGTTTTAAACAAAATAACATGAAGGCATCTAAAGAAGTTGAACAATGGCCAAAAGGTAAAACCAAAAAAACTGTGACCTGTCTCCAGCTGCTGTCTATTTTTTGTTTTTTTGCCAAGTCTCTTTCTGGTTGTTGAATCATGAAAACAAATCTTAGTTTGAGACCTACAATCTTAAAATTTTCTGGATTCCTTCTTTTGTGTTTACTCAGGTTTTCTTTAGATGGATGCTGAAATCCGATGATCAGAAACATTTAATTGTGAGTAAAGAAGTTAAAGAAATCTGTATTATATTTATATTTTCTTAAGGTACTAATCCTCTTTGTGAGGTTTGGAAATGGAAAACATATTTTTTTAACTGGGGAAATGGGGAAAGTGGCCACCCAGAATGCAACAGTGTCTCAATCAAACGCTGCAGGTTTTTACATAATGTAATAATTATTTACAAAGAACTATGCTTTTTTCCTTCTTGGAACCACTGTATATTTTTTCCATATTTCCATGATAAAGCCTTTTTATATTTCACTTCTTCATCTATGAATGTTGTTCAGGTTTCTAAAAATAAACTCAAGGCACTCAAATGTGCATTGCTGAGCGTACGTTTTCAAGCTTTGATTGCCAATTGCTCCATGTTTTGCTAACCTAATTTCCCCCCTCCCAGCAGCGATTACCTCTGGCTCTGTGGGCAGACGCAGCACACATGGATAGACCATCATCTCTATCCCCCAGTGTGCCTCCTCCAGACTCATGACCTTGGGGGGATAAATATAGGAGAAGAGTGCTAAACAACAGCCTAGATCCATTTCCTTGTTTGTTTCCTGAGGGCAAGTATGATGAATAGCTCTTCCCCATGGTGCTGTGCTCCTATCGCTCTTGTGTGAGGTTGCATATCCAGGGGTTAGGATGTTCTCGGCTAATGAAATTCGAACTGTGATTTTAAATAATGTTTAATGAGAAGAACGTCTTGACTCCAAAAAAGGCTTCAGGCATATGAAAGGGGTGTCAAATCTAAAAAAAAAAAAGAAAAGAAAGAAAAAGAGTTTTGTCTTTCCTTGCTGCACATCAGATTTAAAGCAAAGGATAAATTTATACCCAAGTAGGCAGGATGTTAAGACTGGTGAGCTAATACTCACATTTTAGAGAGAATTGTAGATGATTTGTAGTTGAGTTTTAAATGCTAATTTTCCAACAATCTAATTACTTTTTATATGTCTCCTTTCATATTTTTCTGAATCATGATCAGCTTTATTTTCAAGGTTTTCACATAAACAAGGAATTTGACTTCAGACCTGTTTTGCTCTCAAGTAAGAAATTTGAAATATTAAGATGTATAAAAAAAAAAAGTGAAAAAGAAGTGATTTTGGAAATTTTGCCTTGTATGTTGTTCCGTACATTTCAACATTTCCTTTGTTGTTGCTTTTCAACAGATTCTTTTTTTTTTTTAAATCAGCCCTATGTGCATATTCTAGGCTGCCTACATTAGCCTTTTAGTTGCATAATATTATGTCTTGTTGCCTATTTTGTCTTGGGAAAATAAAACATAAAAGTTTTCCATCTTGTTCAGCAGCATGAAACATTTTTATGAATTTTATGATTCAACTCGTGATTTAAGAAACTTCAAAAGCCTTTATATCCCGTTATCACAAATACAAGAAGGGAAAAGAAATCAGCCATGACCTTGATGAAGCGGCTGTTGCAGTTCATAAGTGCAGGGAGGATTATGATTTCATGATTCTGGGGTTATTGATTTCTGCTGCTCCTTATCTGTTGTCCTCTCTTAGTGTGTGCTATCGTCTCTGTGAGGACCGGGCCGCTCAGCTGCTGACTCCCTGGTGTTCAGTCATTCGATCAAGGGCTCAGCATTTTATTTGGATTTTCTTTATTAATTTGACCTTTCCAAGTACACTGAGACATTGAATCTCATTTCCTGATTTAAACAAAGACAGTAGTGATGGGAAGTTCAGCTCATTTCAGAGAGACGGCTCTATAGCCTCATATTTTTACCAAACTTTGCAAAAATTCATGTTTTGTATGTTAATAAATTGTTTTCGTATTCAGTATTTTTATGAGAAGCTTTGTAGCTTCCTAATTTCATGTCTTATTATGTTACTAAAGCAGACATTCTCACTTTTGTGTAATATTTTAATCAAAATGTTTTGAATTTTATTGATAAGAAAAACAAGTGGATAAAACGCTGTTGCGCTAACCAGGTAACAGCAATTTGTGACTAGTTTGCAGGTGAATTTTTGAAGGCAAATGTTTTGCAGGTGACATTTTAAATGTGGCATTAGATACATAACTGCACAGGATAAAAAGTCAGTATAAATTCAATGTCTAAAACAATGTCTGATTCTAATTAGACAATTTTTTTCATAAGGAAATTACTGACAGTCTAATGATTTGGAATCGTTTTGCACAAACTGGCTCCACTGTAAAAAAAAAAAAAACCTGTCAAATGGGTCATAATTTACTGGGTTTTCATCGGGACAATGATCCCAAACACAGCAGCAAATTTATAACAGAGTAGCTGAAAAAAAAAAGAAAAAAAAAGAATTAGGTCGTTTCAATGGTCCTGTCAAAGTCCAGGCTTCTACTTGATGGATTACTTCTGGGGAAAAAAAACTCAATAAACTGAAGTGCATTTGAAAACAACAGTGGATGAAGCGATATGTGAAGCTGAAAAACTGCTGTGAGGTTTTCAGTGATACACAGTTAGTTTTCACCACAGTCTGAATCTGTGGAGGGTTCCACAGATTTGGATCTTAAATGATTACAAGGAGTCGAAAACCGAAAACAACTTAATTAAATGAATCTCAGTGCCATGTGGACACCAGTATTTAAAATATGAGGTCTAGCAGGTTTAAGCCCCGCCCCTTTTCTGACACACCTAGAAAAATCCCAAGGCTGTGAACTCTACACGTATAGACTTCATCCGGAATATTTTGGATGCAAGAACTGACGATGTTTATTCTCTGGTGGTCATCTATGTAGGTAAAGACAGAAAGCTTGTTAAATTGTTTATGATAAACGAGACGTTAAATGTCAGGTTTCCACAGATGAATCAGCAGGACAAACAGGTTTAAGACCCACCCTTAAAACAGCCCAGCTGGATTCAAACAGGAAGCACTTTGTGACCAGAGTGACACACCGTCAGATTCCTCTGAGCGACTCCAAACGCAAGAGAGAGAGAAAACAATGGAAAACTCTGACTTTTCTGCTCCGAGCTGCTCAAACTCCACACACTGACGGTGAGTCTGACCAGAAACACAACTCAGTCTCTAGAATGAACAGAGAGGAGGAAACCATGACTAACTGGACTCTCTGTTGGTCTGCTGTGTTTTCAGCTTCGGTCGAAGAGTAAATGGCTTACAGATCAAAGGAGGCTCTGTGCAGTCTGCACTCTGAGAAACTCAAACTCTTCTGTCTGGACCATGAGCAGCCACTGTGTCACATCTGCAGAGACTCGGCGAGGCACGTCAACCACAGGATCAGGCCCATCGAGGAAGCGGCGCAGAGGAAACGGCGGGAACTGCAGGAAAATCTGGAACCCATAAAGAAGAGACTGAGGCTCGGGAAGAAAGCTAAAGACGAGTTTGATCGGACGGCAGAACATATTAAGTTCCAGGCCAGGCACACGGAGAGGCGGATTAAGGAGCAGTTCAAGAAGCTTCGGCGGTTTCTAGCAGAGGAAGAGGAGGACAGGCTGGCAGCACTGAGGGAGGAAGAGGAGCAGAAGAGTGAAATGATGAAGAGGAAGATAGAGAGACTGAGCAGGGAGATGGCAGCACTTTCAGACATAATCAGAGAGACAGAAGAGGAGCTGGGAGCAGAAGACATCCCTTTCCTTTACAGCTATAGGGCAGCAGCGGACAGAGTGGAGCGCTGCCCCCTGCTGGAGGTTCCACAGCTGCCCTCAGGCGCCCTGATAGACCAGGCCAAACACCGGGGCAACCTGGCCTTCAGCATCTGGAGCAGCATGAGGGACGTCGTCTCCTACACGCCTCTCGTCCTGGACCCAAACACTGCTGATGTAGATGTCAAACTGTCTAAGGACTTGACCGGCCTGAGGCTGGAAGAGAAGCAGGACCTCCCTGACAACCCGGAGAGGTTCGACGGCTGGTCGTCCGTCCTCAGTTCCAAGGCCTTCGACTCGGGGAGTCACAGCTGGGACGTCGACGTTGGAGACAGCTCGTTCTGGTCCCTCGGTGTGTTAGCGGAGTCGGTTCAGAGGAAAGGAGAGACCCGGTCCGGACTTTTCGTAATAGGGTTCTTTGAAGGCGAATACAAAGCACGGTCGCCAGCAGCTCCTCCCACTGCGCTCCCAGTACAGAAGACGCTCTGCAGGATAAGAGTGAATCTGGACTGGGACAAAGGCAGGCTGTCGTTCTCTGATCTGGACACTAACACACACGTGCACACTTTTACGCACACTTTCACCGAGAGGATGTTTCCGTTCTTCATCTCGACTGAAATGAGAATCCTACCGAAGAAGATTTCTGTCATAAAGCAGCAACTCTACTGAAGGTCACAAAATATAAAGATAAAGCCTTGGTAACAAAACTGAGAACAGGCGAAACATGTATCAGTGGAGATACGTTTTACATACAGACGAAATTAACGGTACATCTCTGTTGAAGACCATGAAGATGGTCACTGAAATAACTCTACACTGACAAAAGTAGTAATTTACTGAAAATCAATTAATTAAAATCAGACACCATATTACAAAAAAATCACTAATGAAACAGGCTTGAAGAAAAATTATGCTGCTTGTTACTTAACATATTGTTGCACAACCTTTTGAGGCACCTGTCCACAGACATGTTGACCCACTCCCTCTGCTCCAGTTGTCTCAGATGTTCAGTAGGATTTCCATCAGGTCTCATAAAAGGCCAATTCAGAATAATTCAATGTTTTGATGTTCTTGAGTGTTTTTAGCCGTATATTTTGGGTCATTATCCCGTTGGAAGACCCCCTGACCTGAGACTGAGACCAAGCTCTCCACTCAGCAGCACACTTCTCTCCAGAGTGACTCCAGTCTTCAGATTTCATTGGACCCTGGACAGATTCAAGATGCTCTGTGCTAGACGCAGCTAAGCAGCTTCAGATCGTCATTACAGAAACTTTCTGGCTTGTCGATGCGAATCGGGGTGAATTCCAGTAAAAAAAAAATTAAAATTAGCTTTCAACAGTGGCATCCTCCTTGGTCGTCATCCATTAAGTCCACTTTGGATGAAAAAAATGACAAACTGCTTGACCTGACACAGATGAACCTTGACCTTCAAGTTTAGCATTACATTATTTGTTCTGTGCTCTTTGGTTACCGTTTGTATTATCCTTCTCTTCTTTGTCATCAATCTTCCTGCTACGACCAGGCAGGTTGGCGACAGTCCTTTAACGTCTGAATATGTGAAACTGCAGCATTAAGCTGCTTTGAGACGGTTTTATAGACGTTTACCTTTAATATGTCTGTCTATAATTTTCTTTCTAGCCTCCTGGATCTCCCTCCTTAGGTTTCTGAGCTCCATGTTCAGTGTGGTAGCCAACGTGTCACTACTGGTCCTCCTTAAACAAGGCAGACTGACTGACTACAAGCCTGAAGATGCTTTCAATGTGAATTAGACGACTCACATTAGTTTAACAGTCAAATCATTTAAAATCTTTTCTCAAGGTACTATAATTTTGTCTTTGTGCCTTTTATTAGTTTTTTAAATTATTCATCTGTTTTTTTTATTGTTATTAATCTGTTAATTATTATTAATCTGAATTAATTTTTTAACGAATTAATTAATTAACGTCTGATTTTCAGCAGCTAATTTTCTTTAAATCTTCTATAAATCGTTACTTTTGTCATTTGCAAATTATTTCAGTGACAATGGTAGATTTGTTTGGTTATTAACAGGCGTAGCAACAATTTTGTCCAGGTGTGTTTATGCCACGTGTATCCAAAATTTACTCAAAGGCCAAAAAAGTATTAAAAACTAAAGTTGCAAAAAAAATTTGATTGTCCTTTTTGCTGGTGATCAAAAAGATGATATATACTAAATATACAACTTTATACCAAATGGATGTTGTCACAACTCATATCCTAATTTTAAAAGGAAATCTTAAAAACTGATTCCTAAAAACTAGTTTCCCCTCTTGGAATCTGTGAGGAAAATAAAAGAAACACTGCGACGTCCTTCTGAGTGAGCAGCAGCTAAACGTCCTACCTTTGTGATAAATTTAGAAAAACATGAAAACGATTCAGGAGAGAATTATTATCTCCGAGTATCAATCAGAGGGCGACTCGATTTCTTCTTGTTTGTTCAGTCAAATGTTATTTGAACATCCGAGACTTTTCTGCACAGTCTGGAGATCAGAGCGATCAGTTCAATGCTGCCACACCGGAACAATAAAAAAAAAAAAAACAGGTAATGCTTCCTGACAGGCTGCAGTCATTTGTCACATTTCTCCAGTTTCACCTGTGAGTGAAGAGGGGAAGCATCACAGCAGCCACGTCTCCTCTGAAAATGCTAAAATTAACTTTTCTGCAGTATGACAACATGTTCACGTTTGAACTGTAAGGCGTAAAAGATGGAAATGGAAAAACACGCATTTTAATCAGACAACAAGAAGCTTTCTGGACATCACAGGAGATGAAATGTAACTTGTTTCCACAAGACAGAACCAAACTACATACGTTTTGGGTTCAACTCATTTGGATTTCAACAGCATAGATTGAAATAACTTCTGTCCACCCATCCATTTCACACAGTCCTGTTCAATGTCACAGAACTGCAGGCCGGTTAATCATTACATTACCTGGCCAATGCAAAGACATGCAGGACAGACAACCAAACCCTCATGTCTAAGAGAAAATTTAGATTCATTTTGTTGTAAAATTGCTAAGAAAATGTCAGCCAATCCCACAGTTTGACATCATTTTACTGGTGTTTATTGGGTGCCGTCAGGCCTTCTGGCTGACTTTTGGCATCCCACGTGTTCACCACTCTAGTTTCGGATGGTCCAGGGTCAGTTTGCTATTAGTACCTCAAGGGCTTTTAGAGCTAAACATCAATCCTGATAACCAGTTTTTACCCTCGTAGATACAGATTAAACACATGGGTATTCATGGCCCCAGAAAACTACCCTGGTTTTGAAAAACATGCAGTAAGTGTCCTCTTCCTGGTAAATATTTACTGGAGTCAAACAACCACATTTCCTTATGGGGAAATGGTGTAACAAATGACTTTAAATTGTCTCCTGTCAAAGCAGGAATGACATGTCCTTTTGTTGGATTTGATTTGATGGTACAAAATATCCTGTGGCAGAAGGTACAAGTTCTCACCCAGAAAAAAAATCTTGTATGAAATGATCAAAATTGCGAACGGCAAAGGAGCAAAATGGCTTTTTGTGGAATGTGAAACAAGCCAGAGGGTCATCAAGAGCTCCGGTACCATCATGACCGGCTGTTCTTGCATTGCTTTGGTGTGGAGTGCTTCAGATTCCTTAGCTACCCATTTTCTTATGAGGCAATTCATAAATAAAGTAATTAATAAATAAATACACTAATGTGTTCTTTTCTGGATGAAGGGGGGAGTAACTTTTTACACCTTTACTAATCAGTTTCCACACATTTTATACTTAGTCATTAATTTTTTTTGTCAGTGTTGAAATGTGGCTGTTTACTTAGATGACATGCAACATATCATGAATACATCATGTGTTGGGAGTTAAAAGCTGTTAGTTTGCACAACACCTACGTAAAAAGACCCCAAACAAATTATGAAAAGTCCTGAATATGGTCATATTTGATCATATCTCACATCAGGACAGCATTTTAAGACCAGCACTGTTTTGCAAATTATGGTTTAAGCATAAAAACATGCCAAAAAAAAAAAAAAAGTCTAGAAAAGTTTTTTTTTTCTTTTTTCAAACATTTCATTAGTGACAAACAGCATTTCGCCGTCTTCTGAGCGTCTCTCTACCTGAACCATAAAGACGTGATTGTGTGTCCTCTAGGTTTGCTTGAGGCCTCTTAATCTTTCTGCATCAGTTTGGAGATATAAATATCTCTGCAGTGTTTTCATACCTTTCAACAAAATAAACAACTTCTCCCCCAGAGCAAAGTCCCAGCTGAGGAGCAGAACACCATGTGACCCCGAGTCACAAAGGGGTCATCTAGCTCATTACTTTCCAAACCGCTTGTGGCAACAGTAACTGCATTAGCGGGATTCATGAGAACAGGCGTAACATGTGCTGTCCCGGCTTCCCCTCCGGCTGCGGTCTTTATCAGATGCTGTCGCCTCGGCGCTGGGCTGCTGGCCTCCGGCTCTGCACCGAAGACGACAACAACAAACCAATTTGACCACTTCCTGCAATCCAATCACTTCAACAATGTGTCTGTGTCACTGCTGGAGTCAGAGGAGTGCATTCACCAATGTTCCTTGAAATGCAACGGATTGTCAGAGGGGAAATAAACCATAAATGGTAAAGCTGCCTCTTCACGACATGTTCAGATCCGATATTCAGCTCCCTTTCCTTTGAAAACCACATCTGTAATCATTCCAAACACATCTTTAGCATTATATATTTATATATATATACATATATATTTTGCTGCTGTTTTAATAAACCTCTACAGTGGAAACAGAGCATATCGATTGCTATGAAAGCTGCCTGTGTAGTACTCTGTCGTAATGACAGCCTGAAGGCATGTCCCAGCCTGCCCCGGCTCAAACAGTCAGTGCTGTTCTGAGATGAGCGGGGCACTGGGCAGGAAGCGCATAAATAATTCACTGTGATCTCCGTGTGGCCCGCCTGCGATATGGCTTAGATTCCCGAAGGTTTCACAGACACACAGACAGAAAGCAGACAGACAGACAGAGCTCTGTTTGACTTGTATGACGAGGGCTTCTGACAATCACAGCAGCTGCGGACCGAAACCTGGTGTGAGCTGAAAACCAGGTGAAATCATGGCTTTCCATGCAACGCAGAACAGAGACGGAGCACAGACAAAAAAAAAAAGATCAAACAACAGATGAATTTTCCTCAAACTGATGCGGGACTGAGTACAAACTTTTACAGGTGAAATCGCAGAGACTTAACTCTCATGCTGGTTCTCAGAAGTCAAGCTCGGCTCTTCGAATGACATCACATCATGATGCCTGTAGTTCGGGTTCTTGGTCACATCCCAGATCACTCAGCCGGCTCTGGGAAGAGTCCTGCTGGTTCCCAACTTCTTCCCGTACCTGTCAAGTCTCCCGATTTGGCAGAGAAACGAACAGATTTTACCCGTTTTCCACCGTGCTCTTGTATTAGCATTTTCCCGTTTCCTGCTTATAAATGTTTCAATGACATACAAGCTGGTGAGGCTTGTAAGATTAGCTATACTAATCTTATGACATTTTTCATTGACGTTTCATTCTTTTTCTATAAAAAAAGTTTTGTTTATCTTCCATATCACAGATGTCTTATAGCTGGTGAAGAAAGATTCACGAGAAAGTTCAGAAATTCTCAAAGTGCTAATTAAACTTGTCACCTGAGGGGGAAAAAAAAGATTTGACAAGTACAGAGTAAAACATGATGTGCAGTAGAGGTGGAATCGTTTTAAATAGCAGAAGTTAAATTTTTAATCTATCAAAAAGAAAAACGGTCTGTTGAGTAATTGCATAAATTTCTTCCATTTGAATTCTCTCTCTCCCTCCATCTCTCTCTCTCCCTCCATCTCTCTCTTCTTTCTTGCTTTCCACAAGTTCATGCAAAGAATCAGTTGTTCACGATTTTTTCATAATTTCTTCCAGTTCATGTAGGATGATGGATATTTTCTGCATTGATAAGCTCAGCTAGCTCCAAACTCCCTGTAAAGGAATGCCAGACCCTCCCACTGTCACCTGTTTTCTGCATATTCTTATATGTATTTGTCTTTATGTTTCTTTTAAATACTCTTATGTTCTCCACAGATATTTTCAGAAGCCAAGTCAAATCATTTAAAAGGGTAAAAGTCAACAAAACGTTGCAAATCCCCTCCAAAAAGCCGCCCATTTTACTGGGAATCGATCTGATCAGCAGTTTCAACAGAAAACGTCGTGAGCTTCCAAAGTGGCCAGATCTCAGCACAATTTGCTTCACAGAAAATCCTCATTAGTCTCTTTCTTTGTAGGCAGGAGGGCATGCCAAGACCACGACCATCACCAGCTGAAGTCCTGTTGACTCACAACATGCACAACGGAACAAAACACCAGCTCTCCATTTTCTAAACTGATGAACTGCAGGAAATGATGAAAATTGTGACGGCTGGTTCTGCTACCATCAGATGTTTAGAAATCTTAACGCTTGATACATCAAAAAAATAAAAAAAATAAAAATACAAATCTTACTGACTTCAGTCAGGAGCAGATCAGGAAACATCTAATTAATTGGGTTTCAAAGCTAATTCAAATGAAATTATTTCAAATAAATTGTTATGCATAATTGGACTTTAGTATTTGTTCCTAATGTCAGCTTTTGGCAACAACTGATTGGACAAATGCACCAACTTTAAGTATAAGGCGCTTTATTTAAACAGATGTTCATTTGAGATACGGCAACTGCTGACATGGCAAAAGTAGTTTTTATATTATCTTTCTAAAGAGTCGACTGTTTTTGGTCTTTTTGCTCACTGGTCTGTCTTAGGGCCAGGAATGTTATCAGCTATTATTGTTCATCGGTTATCAGTTTCCAGAAAGAAAATGATGTGGTGCATCCCTAATTATTTTTTTTAGGTACAAAACAATGGAAAATATTGGGGGAAAATTCGGGAGTAGACAAGGTGAGGATTTCAAATTTCAGGACACTGAATTACTGTGCATGGTGCTGGTCGTGTTAACCAACCAGGACACCCACAAATGTCCCACAATCCAAAGACGCTGGAAAATGGTCTGCAGATTACAACAGGCACCAACTAACTAAAACTGAACATAGATGGAGCATCGGGGATTCAGCTGTGAAAATGGTAATTTCATAATTTAGAGCAATGACACAGCTAGAGTTGGCCTAATAAATATGTGAGCACATAACTGTAGTTTAGAGAAAAAAAAATAACCCCCACATCTGTTATGAATAAATAAGTCTAATCTGAGCTGCTCAACACATTGTTACACAACAGCTCTGAGAGTCCTCCTTCACAGCAGAGAGAGCAGCTTGACATGTTCACTGGAGGAGAGCGAGCTCAGGCAGCGTTTTCATCTGATCGGCTTTGTTGTGGCAAAAATCTGCTGTAATTGACGGCGGAGACATGTTCTCTCTAGCGGATTGGGTTAAAATGAGATGACTGATAGAGACGGGGGTTGCTGGGGGAAAAAAAAAAAAGAGTGCTCATCGGTCTCTCCTGCGACTGGGTGATGAAGCTGTCATTTTCGTTCATTTTGCCACTTGCTCTTTTTTTTTTTTTTTTTTACCCCTTTCGCAATTCAATCCACACCGGCCTCCAAGCTCAGTGCCAACGCTGGAGTTCGGCACTAGCTGATGCGTTTCGAAGCAACACTTTGGTTAATTAAAATTACCGTCTGCACGAGGACAGGAACATTCTGACAGTTCTGGACGCAGGGCATCTGCAGGTTACATCAAGTCAAATTTAAGACTTTTAAAGACCTTTTTAATGCCAACCTAAATGAAATTTAAGACAAAAAAAAAAAATAAGGGATGTTTGTGGGATTCTGCCAGCTTTGTAGTTACAGACTAAATGTAAGACCTGTGACTACCATATTTAAGGCTAATTTTCTTCTTTTTTAAAAAATTAATTTTAAGACATTTTAAGGACAGAAGTTTAAATACTCACGTTCTTGAAAGCTGTAATTTCAGCACGTACTGAGAATACATGTTTTGAGTGATTTCTTGCCGATTTTATCTGCAGGCTCAAGCTAATTAAAATAAACTCAAATAAAACCTCACTAATATCACAGCAAACTGCACCTCCACCACATGTTTGTTGCAGCCATCCACGAGCGTACGGTATAATTTTTACAGAATGTTTGATCATTGTTATCAGAAAATAATACCGTTCATACAAACTGGTTTCCTGCAATGGACCTCAATTTAAAGCTACAAGCCTGGAGAAATCGTTTCAGATTAACGCTAATCTGCTTTATTCATTTTACGATCAGGGATGCTTCGCTTAGTAAAACCGTTTGGCATTAGTCATATTAAAATACGTCACTATACCACATTACACCTGCCAGTCAACAGGACCATTATAACTCAACATGACTCAGATTAATTTTGTTTAAATTCGCTCTAGTGTGGCTCATTGTATATGGCTGGATTTAGAAAACTCTCTAATGGGTTCAACAACGACAGACTCCTCTCTCAGTTCCTGCTGCAGACGTTACATTTTTATCCCCGATGGCAGCTGTCTGACTTTTGAGGCTACGCTTTCTTCAAAAAACCGGGATAAAAAGTGCTGTGCATATATCAACTCAGCAGGAGCAGCGCATGGCGGCTGCGGGTTTTCCTGCCTAAGACCTCCAAAGCCAACAGTCACACAGTGTTGGCACAAATCCTTTTTTGCATGTTTTGCCTTCTGGTTGTCACATTTAGATAAGATTTGCTATGTAAGCGAATAGGTTCTGTCTTATTTACCTCATGACTACTTCCTGTCGTTTTGTGGTTATGATTTTAAATACTCAAAAGATCAAATGTGAGTGTCCTTAAGGCGTCAATCTCAACACCACTTTCATTCTTAAGCGACATGATCCTATTACTTCAGTATGGCAACATTTTACCTAACACATACAGAGAACACAGAACTTTACTCTGCTTGTCACTACATGACCACAATTCCTTACCGTCACCAAGTGTCTGGAATGCTGATGAGTGGATGAGCCAGGTTTCCTTTCATGTTTACCTTAAAAAATAGTAATAATAATAAAAGAAATAGGAAATAATTATTTTTAGTCTCCCAAAATATGTTTTAATAATTCTAAACTTAAAAAATATGACAGAAACCTATTATGTATTGTCTTTATGAAATAAGACCAAAACATAAGAGCACATAATGTCTATTCCTAAGGAGAGTATCCACAGAAATAGACAGAATCTTGTCAGTATCTTAAAATTACAAAGGTGAAATGCTTGATGTTAAAATTAAACAAAAAACTGTTGCATGCTTTTAGTTTTAGCAGGTCAGATTATTGCGCACAGTTCTGAATTGAAATACTGTTGAGAATCTGACAATATTTAATAGTTTATCTGTACTAACCTCTGACGCCGTTTTTCTTTTTTCTGTCACAAATTTCCCCATCTCTTCCATTTGGAGGTTTCAAACCATCCGCGCAGGTTATCTTCTCCTCCGTCAGCGCTGTGGGGTGATATACTTCTTCTTCTACCTGCTTGCGCCACCATGTTGATTAATTTAAACACTGCTGCCACCTAGTGACTGGAGGTTTCCGTAAGGCAAAAACATAGCTCTCCTGATTCTCGGTTAAAACAAACTGAATTAGATAGATTTCTGAAAACATAAATCAGGGGAAATAAAAGAAATAAAACTGTAAGATAAACTTTATTGTACAAACTAAACTTTGTCTTTCCAGAGTTAATTTGTAACACAGAGCATCCAGGATGGCTACTGCAGGTGAGATGGTTCCACTGTGAAAGCTTGTTGCACAATACAAGATCATCATGTTATCAGTATCTTCAGAAGAGTAAATAAACATTTTAATCAACATTTTAAAACTTGTTGTTTTATATTTTTGTCTTATTTTAAGTGTCAAATTTCAGACCACAATAAATTCTTCTCTATAAAAGCTTTTTATTTTGGTGGCTTTTTACCTCCTATACCAGACTAGAGGCACTAGTCTGGTAGTGCCTCCAGAGAAAGTCAATGGTATTGACTTTCTCTGGAGTTCTCAGAGAAACTTGTTTTCATCATTCTAGTTGTTATGGAGCCCACACTGCTCTACTCTCCTCGCTTTATTTCGTTTACATCCTGCATTTTTCAGAGTTTCTGTGCTGAGGAAGGCTCCTGAAAACATAATGTGCTGATATTGGGAGATTTAACTTGATAAAAATGTAATACTTTTGGTTCTGATTTGGCTCTGATGATGTTTTTTATTTTATTTTCAAATTAAAAAGGAATCTAGATGAAGAATGATGTGTAATCTCAGCATTGTTTTCTTGTGCCTTTGTTTTCATGTGAGTGATTAAAAATCTTATGAGCTTTAAAAAAACATAGCTCAGCAATAAAAGCCAATTGTTGGATGACGTGTCACTTAAGAGGAAGAGAAACGTCTTAGAAGGATGTAATCTTGTAAAATCCAAGTTTCTCTTAAGGATAACCCATCATCTGGGTAGTGTGTAGTTACAGAAGGTTCCAGAGGATGGAAACAAAAGCAGCTCCATCGTACTGTGATCACAGATGAACGATTACAGGGACATAAATGTTTTTGCTTCGCTACTTTTGTTTCCTCATTGTTCGTTGGGAATTTTTTGTGTGAATTTATTTCATTATGAAATTTTTGGCCTAAAACTGTCTTGGTGCTGCCCTCTTTGGGTTGAAGGGTGGCTACTGCAGTTGAATCTTCCATATTGGTAACAACGGTACAACTTGGTTGATTTTTACGTCACAGTCCCACTTTCAAGTGTGAAACCATTTGATTCAGGACAGTTGCTGCAGAGCGATTGGTGCTTTCACATGTTGAGATAAAAATCTGTGACAAAATAAAAAATAAAATAAAATAAAAAATCACAAAATTTGCTTTCCTGGAAAAAAAAAGTTGCTATATGGGTCTGAAAAGTCACTAAATGTAACGTAAAGTCATTAAGTTGGAAGCAATGTTTTCTTTTGTCCTGACCACAGTGTCGTCAGTGTCTCTTGGTTTGGCCCACTTTGGTGGACATTTTAAAGGTTCGTCTGGGTGCGGGGTTATGCTTTCCCAGAGTGTTGGGTAATACTAAGTTTATTATATTAGGATTTTATGTGAAGTACCGACAAATTCTGAGATGAATTCAGATCTAGGCTTTGACTTTGGCTTAATCTAAGCTATCCCATTGTCTGCTTTCCATGCAGAATAGTTGGGAGGTAAATCTCCGCCTCAGTCTTTTACAGCCTTTAAAAAGTTTTCATTCCAGGTTTGCTCTCTCCATCTGTATTCTTATGCTAACCAGATTCTCCTATTATGATCCTGCCACAGAATGATGCTGCCACAGCCATGTTTATCGTCTCCCCTACATGACTTATATTAAAGCTTTCTCTTTATCATACATGGAGAGTTAGTCTTTAGTGTACACGGCTAACTTTATACCTGACCTTTCTGGTTTGTTCCTCCATGCTAATGATGCTACTAATTACCAAATGTTCTCTAAAACCTCTGAGGCCTTCACCAGTTTACTCTATAACTTCTAGTTGCCTAAAAGCAGCACCGAATAATCCAGAAGAAAAAATAATAATACAGCAAGAGCGCCGCCTGCTGGTTGGAGATTCATCTACAGTTTGTTACTTATGAACTTCCCTTTTTCTGTCTGTCTCCCTGGACAGCTGCAGTTAGATAAATCTGCTGTACGCCTGAAAGAGACGTTTGGACGTTAACGCCTGCTGACCGATGTTAGCGCCTGCTGACAAAGTGCTAAATCATGTCTTGTTCTGGGAGGCTGGACTCTGACCTTGGGAGGTGTCTCACATCGGCTGATTGATGGCAGATAGACAACGAGGTACGTTGAAGACAGAGTGGTCGATTGGGTTTGGACTCACTCAGCTCTTTCTGATCCCTGGCCTGGACCCGGTTCAACTAATCCGACACAGTATACATTTTATTACTGTTTTGCTATGCTGAGTCATGCTGTTCGGTTGTATCCTCAGTGCATGATTTGGCATTTAAGCTTTTATTCTTGTTTACGTGTCAGTTACTGCAGCTAGGCCTATAAGCATATCAAAAGTATTTCTGTCTTACAACGGGATTTAAACTGTGTGAAAAAAAGAAAAGTTTTGGCCCACATCCTGCCAGGGATGAAATATTGACATCAAATTGAAGAAACATTGTTTCAACGTTTGCTGCAGTTTCAAACTTGACAGTTCAAGAAATGAACATTTTGATTAATATAAAAAATATATATATTTCCACATAGTGACTACAACTGTCATTATTTAAAACAAACAAACAAACAAAAAAAACAATAACAAAAAACTTTCCAACAGCTTGCGGCATAAATTTATTTTCTTAAGGGTAGTGCTGACCTCTCCTGGACAAAGAGAAAACTGCATGAATTTGATTTAGAAATTTAAAAATTAATGGGCAGTCAAAGACACACTATGTTAGTCCTTAATTGGTCTAACATAGTAATACATAATACTATTTAAATATGTATTTAAATAGTATTTTTGAAGTTACAACATTAAGGGAGGCGTTGAAATGTATTATTATTATTATTATTATTATTATTATTATTATTATTATTATTATTTATGCACTATTCTTGCAATTGTGGTACATTTCCTCAAGAGGGCACATTTCTTCTTAAAACCCAGCACTTCTCCACAGCTGTATTAACGTGATACAGGAAAAGACGCTTTAGTTGATGACTCTGTGTAGGGAAAACTACATTTAGCTACATTTTTTAAAAAAGTTTTCATACATGTTTGACAGTGATGAACTATTTATGCAGTTTAACAGTTTTGTTCACAATTTAATGTAATTGAGAAAACAAATGTTGAAAGAACTGTGCTGCTGTGGACACGTCAACACAAGATGCAGCTTTTTCTATGATCTTTTAATTTGCTCTTTGTTCTACTTAATGAAGTAATATTAACAGTTGCTGCAGGAGCTCGTTTTGAATCACTTAGCAACAGTAAGAGGTATCCGGATTAAGTCGATGACGTATTTTACAGGCTATAGCATCTTCTTTTGTTTTAGTTGCCCAGCAACAGATGTAAGTATGATTGTCAAAAATTGACATTTAACCATAGTTTAATATATTTATATAGTTTTACAGAGTTTGTGCTCTTTAACCTGCTGCAGACAAATTTCATTTGTTTCTGTACTGTGAGTTTGATAATAAATCCAAGCAATCAGAATGTGAAACCAATACTACGGATGAACGCATATGGAATAACAAAAAATGTAAATATTCACATATTTACATTTTTAATTTCTAGGATGTTTTCTAGAAATTATCTTTGTTGCAGAATAATGTCTGTGCAGTATGGAGAGATGAATGTGAGTAGAAGTAACACAGACATAGAAAAGAACCCAGATCGTTCTCTGAATCCTTCTGTTTGGAAATGAAAAAAAAAAATTGATCAATGGCTCACTTTTTATTATAAAGTGTCCTCTTTTAGAGGCTTCAAATGATACAAAGACATTTACCAGACATGAATTTCTTACAGTCAGCATCAGACAAAAGACTGAAATGTGATTTTCCCAGTCAGAATGAAGCAGCTTTATTCATTGTGGTCTAAAAGCTCCAGAACAAAAACTTTTGTCCTGAAGAAGCAGCATGAAAAGAAAAGTCACGTCAGTCTGGGTCATGCATTTACCTGCAGTATTTATTTACATGATGTCCTTCTTTTAGCCATTGAATTGCTATTGTACGCCTCTTACCTCCTGTCTGTGCAGGGGTCCCCAAGGTTTCTGCAGCTAAAAAAAGAGCAGAAAACTCAAACAGGAAGCCTGACAAAGGTTGCATTTAATCAAGCACATGGTTGCAACAAAAGAGCTGCCAGTCATCTCTTTATGATTCTCAATTTACAGACTGTTTACTGTGAAGATAACAATTGTTTGATTAACACATTCGCCGGGAAAGAAATAGCAGCTTACTTCAGTAATCATTTACCTCCAGTCTTATTTTCAAAGCAGAATGACAAGAACGGGCAAAGCTAAAGTTCCCTCTAACCAGTCTGGAAGCTCAGATGTGGTCACTGCAGGGACTTGATCAACCTTTGACCTTTAGATGATTATGTTAAGATGTTTAAACAAATAAAGGTCAATGTAATTGTAACTTCTCAGAGCGGTAAAGATCTCTGAACGGTTCTGTAGCTCACAGAGACGCGAATCTTTAAGTGCTTAACGATTTGATTCGAATTGATTCGATTTGTTGAGGGGGGCTTTCGGTTCACGATTAGATTCAGCAACGATTTTGAATTCAGAAAAAAAAAAAATTTTCAAACGGTCCAGAAATTCTGTTTAAATTATGTGACTGACCAGAGAAAACGACATTGTGATGAAATAGAACATTTATTTACATTTATTTATACTGAAATGAAAATAGATTTGTGCATAAACTTAAACTTAAATTGTAACTTAAATTAGCAGTATTCAATTAGCTTAACTGCATGGCTCCTTAAACGAAAAAAAAACCCCA